CCCTCTCTTTTTTATGAAATAAGCAATTAAAAATGGATTTGTGGCACCATCATGCTGGCAGTTTAATGACCGTCATTTAATTGGATTTCAATGTTTTGTCTTTTATGCAGCCCCACAGCGGCCCAGCTTTAGTTGAAGCTGGAGACGCGCGGTGGGTCCTGTTGGCCACTGACCTGTCTCACATGGACAATATAGCATCTTTGATGGCAAGACTGTAATTAATTTAAACATTTATATAGGCAGTCTATGAAGCCCCGACTAAATGCCGTGGGGTTATCAAAGTTGTTTATGGCTTTTTATGGGACGTGATTGAGTTATGAAAGCTGAGATGCGATGACAGCGCGCGATAGCTGGAAAACTCTAGCCACAAGCAATGAGCGTTTATGTCTAGGCCCATGCAAAGTCTACTAAATAGTCAAAACTGACACGAAACTGCACTTCGACATGGGACGGGCACACACAACGCCTACTGAATGTGACTCTGTTGCAGCACTTGACGGGATCTGATCCTTGTTTATGTTATGCATTAATCAATTCTTAACCAGACCATTTCAATCAGAAGCAGAAGCAGATACTATATATGTATATATGTTGCCTACACGCCCACTAAATGTCGTCCTAACTAGGACAAGCCCTCAACGACATGCCCACATAACATATATCCTCCTATATGTTGGGAAAATTGTGTAGACAGTTGGTCAGTTGACGAGCCCGGCGACTGGCGCGACGTCTCTCTTAATCACGCCCCTGTCTCCAGCAGTCGCATGTCGACTGACCCAAACCCAAATGAATCAGTTTCTCTCTTTCTCAATCTCAGTCTCCCTCTCTCTTTCTGTGTCTGTGTCTGTGTCTGTGTGTTGCGACCTATAAACTTATCGTGCTTCCTCTGGTCTTTCTGTAGTTCTCAGCTCAAGATCCCACAAGTTGCCTGGAAATCGGTTTTAATATGTGAATGCGTTGATTGCCTCTGCTTTTTAATAAAATGATAACTTTTATGCCAGCCAAATATTTCATTTCCTCTTCGACTACGGTGACGGCAACGACGACGGCGACAGCGACAAGAACAGAGCAGAAAGGCAGAAACGTAAAATCATCATCAAGTAAAAGCCAGATAACATACTCATTAAAAAGCAACGAAATTTGTATACCCTATATTGAACCTGTACTCAATGATATGATGCAATTTATTTATTCTGTGATCAAATTACATATAGTTCCTATTGCTATTAACTGTTAAATTAAATTACACAAATCCATTATAATAAATAAAATTATCAAATTATTCATCTATTTATGCTTGTATTTCCCATCTACTCTTTTATCTTTCATAAGTTTTTGCATTTCATGGATATCGAAGATTTCAATTAAAAGATATTGCTTTTTAAACATTAAATGTTAATCCTATTCTATTAAGCTACAATTCTTGTGCTTAAATTATATTGTATTACCATATTTAATATTTGAGAATGTTGATATGTTTCAGATTAACTCTTGATTTGGTTACTAATAATATGTTTTCTTTAATAGTAGAAGTAATAGATAGATTCACTATATATATATGTATGCAAATATATAACATAGAAATTATTAATAATAATATTTTGTTCTATAATAATAGAAACTATTTTCATTACTTTCTCTTTGCAGATACATTTTTCCCATAGCTGATTTACCGCAATCAGTCCCTTCTCAGTTTTGGTAATGGGTATGCTAACATGAGCATATAACAACTATGGAACAACTTTGGCCCATGAATAATCAGTTGCCAGCACAAATTGGAGACTGGTCTGAACGTATTTGCACCTCTGAATTCGGTGTGGGCACAGCAGCAGTCGCTGCAACAACAACACCAGTAACAACAACAACAACAAAAACTTGGCCAAGAGCCAGACGACGATAGCGCCAGTCGACTGTCGTCTGTCGGCAGTCAGGTCGAGTGAAGGGCCCAAAGCCCAGGGCCCGAAAGTCCAGACCCTGGTTAACTGGCTCCGCATCAAGTTCGTAGTTCGTGCGTGTGCCCCGTCCTTAACCAGCTCTCTCGCTCTCTCTGCATGTGTGCTTGTGTGTGGCATGGTGTGGACGGGCGGTGGCAAGATCGTTTAGCAGCGCGACGGCGCACTTCATTGCCGACTCAGCCCTGCCCACATCAGCCGTGCGCCGCATTCCAGCCAAATTTGCTCGCAACATGAAGAAATTGCTGCTTATTTGTTCGTGCTCTCGTTGCGTTGCGTTGTCGAGATTATTTGTGAACATGGATATGGCTATGTTGCTGTTGTTGTTGTTGTTATTGTTGCTGATGCTGATGCTGTGCCTGGCGCCAGTTTTTGGCTGCCTCAAATGTGGCATTTAATGAAATTTCCCTCCCCGCTTTTGTTTTTATTGTTATGGTTATTGTGTTGCGTTGCGCTGTTGTTCCTGCTTCTTGGGATGTACAAAGGTTTTGGCAGACCCTTAGGGTCTCAAGCTGTGGTCAACGTGTGGAGGTCTTGTAGGGGAGCAGGACGTCTCGCCGCGCCTGGCACTTAGCGACTTGTTATGAATGTTTGCAAAAAGGATTTAAATAAATAAGAAAGCAGAGTTATATAAGAACTAGCTATCTGTCATACATAAAACTCTAGCTTTCACACATGTATATATTTTTGTATATTACTTTTTTTGTTGCTACCTCTCGTAGCTCATCGCATATTCGTTGTGACCCTGCCAGAGCAAAAAGAAGGCCAAGCAACGAAAATCGTTGCTGTTGGCGTTAACGAGACTTTTGACAGGTTGATTCATGCTCACGTCGCTGACTTGGCTTATTTGACCTAAAGTAGGGGTCTGGCCACATACACATGTGCATACATATATGTATATTCATATACATATTCGATCTCTGTATGTGTCTGGCCCACCAGTCAGGCAGTCAACTATCCAACGATCGCCTGTCCATTTGTTTGTTTTTCTTATGGCTTATGGGAGTTAACCCAAAGCAACAAAAACATTTTTATTAATGACCACCGAACGAGCGAGACTGAAACAAGAAAGCAACAACGACAGCAACAACAACGATAGCCGATGCCACACAATTGCAATGGGCGCCAAAAGGGCCACTTGGTTCAAACCCCGATGCAGACACAGACCCAGTCCCAGTCTGAGATCGAGACCCAGACTCCGTCTGCAACCGTTTACATGGGCTGTAGGGGGCAGTTCCAGCGCCAGTTTTGAGTATGTGTTGAAATGTGGTAATTTGTCTCGCTTAGAGACTCGCCAACGTCGCTGCTGCCGCTGCTGGCATTGCTGCTGCCCACACCAAACAAATGCAGCTGATGATCAGCGTTTCATTAATAAAACATTTGTTCGTCCGAAGAGTCCGAGTCAGACCCGACGAGTCGCAGTCTCAGCTCCATTTGACCAGCATGAAGTGGCGTCTTCTAAACGTAGTTACCATTTCCATAATTCATAAATGCCAATGCGAACTGCCAACAACTACTGGTATTGAGTTTTTGTCAATAGTCGGTGATTAGAGACTCGGAACTTTGGCTGCTTCTGCTGCTCTTGCTGCTGTCTCTGCTCTGTCTCCTCCGTCTCCTCTGGCTGCTGTTGTTGCCCCCCTATTATGGCTAGACAAACAATAAATTTCACAGCTTAACGCGATCGCATAATGAGCTTGGCCCGGCTGCGTCTACAAACACAATCCACGACACGATCATCCAAGTTGCAACCAAGTAAACACAACGAGCAACAGCAGCAGCAACAGCAACAGCAGCAGCCGCAGCAACAGATTCAACACTTTTTTCTCCAAGCCAATGAAACTGTTTACTCAGCGCTTCAGTTGCGATCCGTTGGCTGTTGTTGTCTCCCGGACCCGGCTGCCGTTTCATGGAACTGTAAGCGACTTCAATAGAATTAATTTACGCCTCACGTTCACCCCACAGTTATATGTATTGAACTCAGCTCTTCCATCTCCATCTACGTCTACCTCCCTCTCTCTCTCGCTCTTTTGTGGTATTTATAAAAATTATCAATATTATTATGAGCAGTTAGATAATATTTGTGCAGCCAGGTGTTAAAATGCATTTGCATAAACACTTGAAGCGTTGTCATGCCTCATTTGGTCTTTCGCAAACGAAAGACCCACTGCCTCTAGCTAAGCCAACGCATTTCAACAGTTCCCTGATCCAAGGCGAACTCTCAATAATCTAAAGCAGACTTGACGCTTACATTTCTATTAGTATAAGAATTTATTTATTCACTTCATATACGGAGTTACTGGAAATTGTGAACAAGAATGTAGAGATAAATAAATTCGAGAGAGAAGCTCAAAAGCTGATCGTTTCTTTTTAGATTTTCCAACTGGCTTGCCACGCCTTCAACACACGTATTTATAAATATTTGAATTATATATTCCATATACAATATATACCGAATAGTATATTCGATATACTATATTCTATAACAGCATATATTAAAAATATCCTCGATTCCTAAAGAATAATCTGTCTACTAAACTAAATATAGTATTTTCTGATTGTCCACTTGTCTAATGGGAGTTTGGGAAAACTAACCTCTATGAGAGTCCCAACGAATATATATTCCAAATGTCAGACACATCCCAAAACCAAAATATTCCAGTGTATTGGTTGATCACTGTCCATACTATTTTATGTACATACATTTATTAAATATCTATATATTTTTATTAAATTAATGAACTATTAAATTAATAAAATATTGAATATATATTCGAAGATGTTTCACAGATATATTTCATTTCAAATACTTACACACATTAAACTTTAAACAAATTATGGTATTTCAAAAGTGTTAGTATAGTATAAAAACTAAAATCAGTTACATGAAATATAATGTTGAGGACGAAAAATCATATGTTAAATGTAAAATATTTAAAATATTTTCAAACTATTACATTCTAAATATGTAAAAATAGTCTTTTTACTAAACTAATTACTAATTAAACTTGCGAGCAATTCGCATAATTAAACCCTTTTCGACATGATCAAGTATTCCTTAAAAATCTATGAAATATTTTCAGATGAATCAAATGTTTATCAAAATCTTTACAAATGACACCCGGAATATTTTCTGCTATATGTAAAGAATGAAAAAAATACAACGCATGCTCCAACTCAAAATTGCAAAAAATGTAAGGAACAATAAGTTCTAATAAAATATGCGAATAGACAATAGATCAAAGGTAAATCCCATTACACAGCAGTAGCTCCACGCCTCAAAAGAACAGAAAACAGAAAAGGGAGACAGCGAGAGAGCGAGAAAGGGAGACAGTACAGTAAAGCCACCCTAACTAGGAGATGTTACAACTTCACACTAAAGCATTGAAAAAGTGAGGCAGCCAACGCCAGAGGAACCAGGACATTGGCACCAAGCGGCAGCCAGGAGACATCGAATAGAGCCCAGCATGAGGCCAAAAGCCGTTGGCCCGTAGGCAACGCGGCAGCACCAAAAGGCTGCCCAATTTGGCTTAAAATTACGCTACACTGATCAAAGGCAGCTGCGCCCGATAGCGAGGAGCGATGACGATGTCGGGCTGTCGGAATGCCGGGCTGACGGCCCGATGTCGGGCTGACGGACTGATGAGATGCGAGGCCAAGCAAAAGTGCAGTGACGTGTGGATGGTTGGCTACGGGCGGAGAGAGTCGAGCTGAGGCAGTGGCCCGTCAATACAAGCGATAAGCCTCATCTATGTCTTTGACTGGCTGCTATTGATCTCACCTGAGCAGCAACAGCGATAGCGACAGCAACATTACCTGTGATCTATTTTACACGGCAGCGCTCCAGATATCTCAGCCTCTCAACTACCACGGTCTGGCTTGTCAATTGGGCGGACAACGAAATTGTTATGCTTATTACACTGGCACAGCTACCGAAATGTTGGAACTCTCACTCTCCCTCTCTCTTCCTCTCTCTGTGTCATACTCCATCTACCTATGCCTCAGAGACGAGAGAGTTCTCGCGTTGTAGGAGTATGCGGTGCACTTTGAGTTTAGTTGCCGACCGTCGGGGATTATCTCTTTATCAGACTTAATCTCAAGTAGTTAATAAAGTGCGATGCTTTGTACTTTAACCGCTGCCATTGTTCGGCGCTGTCTCTGTCCAGTGGCCAAAGAAGAGGACGCTGCCGCGTTTCGATGAGTGTGCTTCGATGCAGATAATCGTTTGTGGTATGCCGAAAAGATCTGAATATGCATTACCAAAAAAAAAAAAAAAAAAAAACAGAAGTAGAAGAAGCAGCAGTACGGGCGTGATTATCATGGATAAAAAGTGCCTGGACTGGGAAAAATTTAAACAGCCTGTGTATACAGCATGTGAACAAGCATTTTAATTACGCTCGAACATTTTTAATGGTCTTTGCAGGTCCTGTAAGACAACTGATAAAGAAGTCCTATATCTACTAGCATAGATTTAGTATTCAACATTATCTATCTATCTATCCTACTAGCATATCGAAACTGACTTATCAATTTAATATTAGTGAAAGGCCTGTGCAATCACGCCGAATGGATATAACTGCGTCTATCAGTCTGTCTGTCCAACAGAGAGCTTGGTACATCTGTCTTTCCGTCCACCCGTAAGATCTTCTCAGATACTAGGTAGAAAGAAAGAGGCTCGAATTCGATCTTTCATGAACAAATGTATTGTTTCTCCTACACAAAATTCTTGCATACTTTCATAACATAAATTACTCATATTACTCACACAGCTAACCTTGAATAGCAATTGTAACAAATCGCATATAACAGAATTTGTTCGGAGCAAATGAAAACTGTTCTTAATAAATGTGTTCAAGAATAAATTATTTTTTAAATATTTGAAAATAATAGAACCCGTCATGTTTAATAATTCTAGATATTAAGAAAATACCAATGACAATTTTAGTAATAATAAATATTTAGTAGAGAATAAATAAATATAATCATAGCATAAATCCGAAACCCAATCATTCTCAATAAATATAATTTCTGATATTTCCTTTTGAATATCTTAGGTTGGTTGATGTGTACATTTTTAAAATGCAATATATATAATTTCATTAAACATCCACAAAATTAGGTTCCCGTCTGGTACTCCCATAACGCTCCAAGATCAAAATTGTGATCGTTAGCAGCTGTTTGGATGGGATCCATTACGAAAGTAAACAGTTAGACAAACAGATGACAACATTCCTTCAATTGTCCCCGCTTGGGCTGAACAATGATCTCGAATTGTCAACAATGGCAAATTGATTGTTATCCTTTAACCAAACCTCTTGTGGTGAACCCAAATCCCATTTGCGACAAACAATTTAAGCGAAAATTGTTTAAGCAGCAGTAAAAATAAACCAAAACCAAGAGAGACTGCAGCCATACGCAGGCGAAAGAAAGAAGTCTCAGTTGAATGCGAAGGCAGAGGCAAATCCTTTGAGCAAATCTTTGCTGAGAACAACAAACGACATGCTCATTCTCTTGTCTCCTATATATCTCGTCTCTAGTCTCTTGTCTCTTGTTTCTTGTAGTGAAATGAAAACAAACCCAAAAATGGGATCTTAAAGCCTGCGACAAACTGTAAAAACAAATTGCATTTTGTTTCAATTATACAAGGATTACACATACACAGATGTATGCATGTGTGCATGCGCGCATGAGTAGAGTGATCCAGATTCCATAGTTGAAGTCTCAAGTGGGTTGGCTTGGACAATTTGCACTTGATTCTTAAGTAGGTGATTTCTATTATGCGAGACATTAGCTGTCATACAAACGCCCTATTCAAACCTAAGGGCACGCCACACAACCGGCCCGAGCACTTGATTAGCATCTGAATGCATTTGAATACGTACCGAGGGAGGATGCCCGTGCGCATGTGACCATAAAATCTCAAGTACCTCGGCCATTGTGCGCGTAACGCCGGTGCCAGCCGGGCGAACAGGTAGGACAATAAAACCGCAGACTGCAGCTTTTCATTTTTCCAGCCCGCAGCGTCGTCAATGGTCTGGCCGCTGGGAAATTCGCTGGAATTTCCACCGGGCCAACGGGCCGCCGGCCCAGTTGATGTGCCATAAAATTATGGTGGCCCATAAAATTCATTAATCGCTGCTAAATGCGCGTCATTAGTCAACACGCGGCGGCGCAGGCGCTGCACTTTTCCAGGAAGCACTCGCGGCAGGCACCACGTTCACCTTCCTCCCTCTGCCTCCTGCCTCGTTCTCCTTCCCCTTTCCCTTCCCGGGCGACAAGCGCGTCGCGTGAAAATGGTGATTAATGCTCTTAGTGCGTGGATTTAATAAGGATCGCACGCTCGCTCGCCAGCCGATCAACAGGTAGCCCAAAACGGAATGGAATCGGTCCTGGAAAGTCCCTAATAAATGCGATTGATAAAGGGCGCTAGAGGCATGGCAATAAATAGTTACTCTGAATTCCAATAAATTAATTATATTTTATGGAGCACATCTTGCATATTGATATTCAAAGACTGTCTATAATTAGTTATTAATTATTATATAATTTATTGTGCAAAGGATACGTGCAAGGGATTCGATTGAAAAATACCTTCATCATGATCTTAGAATGACGTTTCTCATTTCTCTGTATAATTATACATATTGTGTATAAAAACAGATATAATAATAAATATATGATAAATACAATAAAAAGCAAAATAATATATAAAGTACTAGGTTGATCTGAAAAGAAAAGAAAATAGGAAAAATAACTTTGATTATAAAGATTTTTTTATTTTTATTTATTTAAATATTCCAAACACAATTTCAATAGGATCTATTATTGAAAGTAGCTTTAGATCCTATACATGGTATGTACTTTTATGAAAAGTCAACTAAAGGATCTGCTATTAATCCGAATATCTGAGTACTCAACATTTTTCATTCACATTCTTAAATGTGTAAGGCCAGAATACAGAAACTCACATTATGAATCAGAATGAAATTTTTACTATTAATTTGGAAAAGTTGCTTAGAAAAACCAACATAGCTTAATGATATTTCTTGTTACATTCAACATTTTGAATAATCCTAAAATATATAATATACCCTAGTTCAATACATTGCTACTACTATTATTATACCTATACAAATTAGTCTTTCAATATTGTCTCTCAAACTATGCCTGCGAGCTACCAACGAAATAAATATAATAATTAGCAAAGAATTTGTGGAATTCTGTTAAGTAGGCTCTAATTTCATTTTAATAACTTAATAAATGCCAGAACTTTCTAAGAAAATTATTATAATGACAGAAGACAGGCTGAGACAACGAGAGTCGAGCTCTCTGTCTATGCACTTCAAACGCGATTCCGTTCGACACCAAACAAACAAACGAGAGGGAGGGGTATGGTAGAGGCACGGCTTGGTGCTTGGGGCAAGCACACACACACACACACACTCATATACACAGCAGTAGCAACAAAAAATGTGTCTACTTCATTCATAAGATTTTTTAGTGGCGCCTGGCGCCAACATTTTTCTCTTGCGTGCTGCAAGCACGGCAGCTCGAGTGTGTGTGTGTGCGTGTGTGTGTGTGTATGCGCTTGACTGCGCCTCGAAGCACTTGACTTGTAGTGCCAACATTTTCATTAAGTCAAATGTGCCACGTACCTCCCAAATAAAAGAGAGAAAGAAAGATTTGCTTCTCGATTGTCGCTGGGCCCGCGGCGGGCAGCGCTTAAATGCACTTCGTTGATTTAGCGTATCGCTCATAATTTGTCTTTATAGTTATGCATTAGAGCGCGACGTGGTGCGGGGTACAGGGCAGGGGGTGTGGGGCACGGGGCATGTGGCTTGCGGCTTGCGGCATTCTGCCTGATAAGTACAGAGCCGTAGCCCAGCAGCTGCAACTGGCGCTTATCAGCAATGGCAGCGGAAACCGAAAGTGAACTGCAATGAGTAGCAGGAGCAGCAGGAGGAGGAGGAGCCGCAGCAGCAGCAGTAGCTAGAAATGTCAACTGTGCCGCAGCGCGTGGCGCCACGTCTGAACTACTTACAAACAGCAGCATAGATAGCCCGAGAGCTGAGCTGCCATTGTTGTGCTCCCTCATAATGGAAATTTTAAGAGCCGCCATAACAATATTTTTGGTATATTTTGCCAAATTGGGCAAGCTGTTAATTTTAGTACAAATTCGGGTCAAAAATAGCTGAGAAGCTCCAAACCAAAATATTCCATCTGCCCACGCAAATATTTTTCGTCGCCTTTGCCGAATCATCGTGTCTATTCCAGTTCACAGATGTGCGAATTCATGTTTATTTACTTTCAATACCCTGCATGTATTTGAAAAGGGTTTAATTACGAAGCATGTCAGTAAGTATGTAACAGGCTAAGAAAGGCAATTGCAATTAATTCATATGATTCCTGATGATAGACATAGTCAATGGATATCATTATAAAAATGTATCAATATAAGAACATATCAATGCATCAACTTATTAATATATTCTTAAACCAATATATCAATATGCAGTATATAAATAGATTAATATACAAATATATCAATACCAATAAAAACAAAACCATTATACCCTGATTTCCCATTGAAAATGGGTTCAGGGTATAATAATTGTTAATTTATAAATATATCAAAATATTACACCCATATATCAATATGTTAAGGATTAAACACAGGGTATATCGGAGTCGTGTGTCGTGAGCCACTCAAACGCGTGCTTCTATTTTTTAGTCTTTTGTAATTTGTTTCCAAGTTTGCATTTGGAATTTGGGCACAAGGGCTCATGGGTCGCTGCGTTTCCAGAAGCGCTACCAACTGTTGACACTTTCAATTCGAATGCAAAAGTCTCGAGTCGAACGATCCGAATGTTCAGTCCACCTGCGGTCGCTGTTAACAATTTTGTGATTCTCGTATGTAAATGTTGTTTAACGACTCTATATGAATTCGTATGTAGTATTCGTATATTTATTGTGTCGCTGATTGAATATGCAAATGCGTTTTCACACGTTCAACACAGGTAAATAGACTTGTGTCCAACGGTTCCTATCCAGATTGGAATATATAAAGTGCCACTCAGTGTATTTGCTGCACTCTGCCCCCCCTTTGATATGCCTGGAGGCTGGAGTTCACTTTTGCTTCCCATATAAATATTTACTTAATTCCTTTGGGCGTTTGTCGCTGACCTACAGCAGGCACCCAGTTTCCTGGGCGTGCAGGTGATAATGACAGCTCCCATGCCACATTTTGCTGCACATATAAAAAATTAATATTACCTAATAAATCTGTCA